TATAAAAATTTGAATTATTATTAATAATACCATATTTTTTTATTTTTTTATTAATACATATATTAAGGTCCCTGCCTCTAAAATACTATTTCTTAATATATTAATTAATAATATCAACACAATTATTCAGTATGATAAATAACAACATATTCATGAAAAAATGTACTCAAAAATGTCTATTGACTGAGATTTCCAACAGAAAGTTGTAACCAAACTTGATGTGTAAAATGTCACTGATAAAGGAAGAATCTATCTGCTCCTACACAGCATGCCTTGTGCTTTGCTCTGGTTTCTGGTCTCGGTGCTAATTAACCCAGATGCGGATATTAATATTGCGGTGGAGATGAAAGTGGGGCTGGAGTGGAAATGGGGCAGATGGTGAGGAGAGGGGGCAGATTTCATGGTGGCGTCAGAGTGAAATGGGTCACTCCCACCCGTGTGTGACAGGAGACTAAAAGCCGTTACTATATTAAAACTCCCATGGGCCCTTTTTAATTGCTCATTACCCACTAGGATATGGTGAGAAACCCAGACTGCTCTTAAAGGAGACATTTACACTCAAACGACAAGATGCTGCTGCTGTTGCACGTTTTGGAAGAACCGCTAAAGTTTGTTTAACACTTTATAATACCCTGCAATTTGTTAACATTGCAGCAGTTTGACTCTAGTTTTGAGGTGCTAAGCACAGAATTCAGTCTGATAATAAATAAGGTTTATCAACTTATTATCAACCCTACACTGGATTCTCAAATATTACTATGTGAACCATGTTTGAACATTTGGAAAAATAAGTATACAGATATCAAGAAACATCGTACAGTTTACATAGATGCATATCTATGGTTTTGCTTTCTTTCTTCATTAAAATCAATCAATCAATCAATAAATCAATCAATCAAACGACAAGATAAACCTGAGAAACAGTAAAAATACCTTCACATGAAGGAAAACACATGTATAGTCAATGCATTATCATGAACACTGTTATTTTAGTATTAAACTATTATTTATTAATATTTTATATAATTAGGTTTATTAGTTTTTTAGTTTCTTTTTTTATTTAGTTTTGTTTTGATTGCTATTCGTTTTTGTTTGTTTTTAAATACATCTATCTAGCTTCAATTTATTTTTTTATTTCAGTTTTAGTCATTTTAGAACTTAATTTCATGTATTTCGGTAAGTTGCCACTGTTTCATTTAAAATTTATGTTTAATTTTTTTTCATCTAATATTTGTATTTTATTAAAATTCAGCTTTATTTCAATTTGTGTTTTTTCAGTAGTTTTATTTTTAGATAACATTAAAAACACTTACAATGAACAGCTATTTTTTACAGCATTTATGAATCGAGGTTAATGTTCATAACATACTCATGTTTCTTCATAATACATTAACTAAAATAAATGTTCATTTATACCTGAAATGTTAAAATATATATTTACCATGAACCTAGCTTCATAAATTCTATAAAAATTATTTTTATTTTTTTCCATTTATACATTGTGCTTTGAACTAATGTAAACAAATTAAACCTTATTAAAAATTGTCAAAGAATTTGTCATAAAGGTTTATAACTAAATGTACACCCAAACATGTTGTAATAAAAACACACACACACACACACATACATATATATATATATATATATATATATTGTAATTTATGTGTGTGTGAAAACTGTTGCCCCAAAAATAAAAAAACATTTAAAAAAAATAAATAATAATAAACAAGTATTTCTGCTGGAGAGTCAGACTTTAAAATATGTTAAATCAGTCATGATATTTGAATATAAATTCAACTTTTGAACATTAAATTAATCCAAAACATTTCTAATCCCAACTCATTAGGACACATTAAATACTTTATTCAATGTAGAACTGACATATCTAATGGTAAAAATCCTGTGCAGTTTGAAGCCCCACAGTGACAGACTTTTCTCAGTGGTATTTTATCAGTATAAGGCCCTGTGTGTGTCCCGGTCGGTGCTTTATCCCATTTCAGTGCATTTGTGTTCCCGTTTTGTCCACCTGCATAGTCAAAAGTCATTTCTTCGTACCTTTCTATATCCCGATTTGTGAACAGAGCGAGTCTGGGCAGCAGTGAGTGCGCTCGGACGGGCACCATGAGCAGGTTGGGCTGGCAGGAGTGGTTGATGAACCTCCCCACATTGCCTACGGTCACGGGGTCCACAAACGTCTGAGTGACCCTATCCCCTCCGCTGTGCTCCTGCACAGCAATGATGTAGTTCATATCTAGGGGTGTCTGGGAGAGCTGGCGGCAACGGGCCTCGTGAGAGCCGATTACTTCCCCGGCGTACTCGCATACGAATCGGCCACAAGGGAGGCGCTCCAGAGCCTCCACCCCCAAACCCCTGTCCTTGGTGCTGAAAACACCCAGACGAACCTCCACCCCCTTTTGAACCACACGGTTCTGGCAGGACTCGCTGCAGGCGCATAAGGCATTGCACTCGAATACAGGCCTACTGTAGCCGCCGTCCTCTCGATGTTGGTTCAGACGTCCCACGCTGTCAAACATCTGGCCGAACTTCAGGCAGGGGCAGCTGTTGAGCAGGCAGGACCGGACACGACACGAGCAGCCCGGGAGGGTGACCGCACTAGGATCAAGGTCACAGCCTGGTCCTTGTACATTATCTGGCACACACTAAAGGATTGATTCTAATTAAGACTTACTGTAAATTGTAAAAAAAAAACAACAACAAAAAAACAGTCTGAAAGTACAGACAAACCAAAAATTATTCAGAAACCAGATATAATTTTTTATATATTTTTACTAATGGGTGCAGGACACTACTATAGTTCATTTATGCAAGTGAGGATAGCAAAATAAAGTGAACTGTGACATATGTGACCCTGGACCACAAAACCAGTCATAAGGGTCCTTTTTTTTTTTATTGAGATTTATACTGTACATCATCTGAAAGCTGAATAAATAAGTTTTCCATTGATGTATGGTTTGTTAGGACAATATTTGGCCGAGATACAACTATCCAAAAATCTGCAATCTGACACCGTGTCTACACCAGATACGAGCGGCGCGACAAAATACTAGAACTCATTATAATCAGTGATGCGGTCTAAACTGGATGCGGCGCGGCGCGACACGACACGACAAATCCCCGACAGAAAACTGCTGCCGCGTTAATTTTCAACAGTCGCTTTGTGTAGTACAGTGTAGACACGGTTTGAGGGTGCAAAAAAAAATCAGTCGCCTTTAAGTTGTCCAAATGAAGTTCTTAGCAATGCATATTAGCTACTTATCAAAAATTACGTTTTCATATATTACGATATCAACGGTAGGTCATTTACAAAATATCTTCATGGAACATGATCTTTACTTGATATCCTAATGATTTTAGGCATAAAAGAAAAAATTATCATTTTGACCCATACAATTAATTGTTGACTATTGCTACAAATATACCCGTGTTACTTATGACGGGTTTTGTGGTCCAGGGTCACATGTTAAACCCCAAAAATTCTTCATACAGTGGACTACCACTAAAACCGATAAAAACTAAAAATGACTAACAATTTGGGACCAAAATTATTCAGGCACATTGACCTGACCTAATGCTACCTTTTTACACCACAGACTGAACAGAATTAAGCATTGCTTCGTAATTGGTTGACCTAAATTGGTATTATCTAATTATGTATACTTATATTTAACAGCTGACAGCTATTCAACCCTAATTCCTTACATACCTTTCTATCAAAGTTATTTGACATTATCAAGATGAATTTGTTCTGACACAGTTCGACATTGAGTTCTTGTCATAGTTTACTACCATATTCTAAACTATAGCGAATAAACTGATAATGTGAGAAATGTTGAAGGTGTCTGATTAAGTTTTGGTTTGACTGTATATGAAAGTGCTGCTATCTAGTGGTGCTGTGGGTATTCATGCTATGTAAATCTATTTATCGTCATTAAAATAAACTTAAGTGATGTTTGAAAACACTGTTAACCTGCAAAATGATGAAAATGCCAATATATCTATAAAGGCGGGTGAAATGTTATTACCTGAGAGTTGGAAAAAGCCTCTTTGGGAACGCTGTTCTCAATCAAAACAGGCACATTCTCGAGTCCGCCACTCAGATCTCGGCTGTATGATCGCATCATGTCTTTTTTGTACGTTTCTGTCTGATTCCGATGTGAAAGAGGACATTATTAACTTGGGGTTTGTTATGAATATCGTTGTATTCATTTAAGAAATACGAACGGAAGCGGAAATGCTACAACGCTCGAAGTCGATGCAAAATAAAAGTCCAGTCACGCATTCTTTTCACCCTTTAGACTAGAGACTGTAGAATTCTTGTTACATAAAGACGTTCTTAGGATTCTATTTGTTATATAAATCTTTGGAATCTTTGAATTGGAAAAAAAAAATGAAAAAGATGCTAGAGTGTAGTTGTAACCCATACTTTAAAAAGGTTTATTCTGCTTTCAGCAACTGTTGGCATGTGTAGGATTAAAACATACCGATTTTAGTTTAATATTTGTTATTTACTATAGGTTATAGAAACGTTCACAAAATGACATGAGACTTCTTGTAACAAAATCCTGATTGAGTTATCTATGAAAACAAGAGTTTCAGTTTTGTGAAGTCTTTCAAATCAATGCATCAATACCGATTAAAAACAGGCTGAAAAAAAGCATAACATCTGTCCATTAGTCAGTATTTTCTGATTGTCTCTCTCTCTATGTATACACACAAATTGCAACTTTAAAAAAAAAAACTTTTAACGAACATATTTTGTAAAAAATATTGATAGCAAAGGCACTAATTTAATCACAAACATGACTGTTTCAATGGTTTAGTTTTTTATTTAATGTTTAACCACAAAAACATCTTAATAACAGACACTAAGACATAAAATTGTGTAAATACAGAAAAGCACTAAACACTTTAAAAACAGTCTGATTGGCACTTTAGTGCTTTCCATCCACCTCTGACTGGCATTTTTCTATGCAGATGCACAGATGTTTGTTGCATGATAAATGTACAGCAGGCAGCAATGTATTTCAAACACAAATTTTTGTAATTTAACAAAAGGACAGACTTGTAAAACACAGGAGGGCAAATCACAAATCAAACAATTATTAGCTATTAATTAAAAGAAACAAGGCATATGGTCTGTTTATCCATGGTATTTTCAGTCTATATTTGCATGACCGTTAATATATTGCATGGAGAGTTCAACAGTTGTTTAATAGCAGATCAGAACCAAATGATATACGACACTGGCCTGTTTGCATGAGCAAGCACCACAGAGACAGTAACAGATTGCCTGACAGATCAAAAAAAATAAAGGACCAGATACAGTATAACCTCAGCCATTATCAGGCATGAAATGAGGCAAACACATATCTGCTTATAGCAAAGACTTCATCACAATGGTCCCATACAGAAATGAACTGATCTACCACAGCCAACCAATAGAAATTTTGTTTGAATAATTAAAGTAAATGAAAAAGACAGGAGGTGAGTGTTCGTAGCCATCATCTTGACTTTGGCGTCGACCCAGGGCAACGTCTAAGTCAAGGTTTCCCCTTTTGTGACCTTAAGAGACAAAACAGAAAACAAATCGGCTTTATTTCAAGCAAATTAAAACAAGAAGGTCCTGTAAAGTCTTGCTATTGACTTAAAACATACTCTGGCTTCAATGTACTCAATCCTCCTCTCCAAAGCAGTAAGCTTCTCATTCAAAGTGGCTAAACGGGACCTGCAAACACATACAAGAAAAGTCATAATTTCCTCTGACAAAAATATCATGCAATAACCTTAAAAATATTTTGAAAAAGAACAAGCTAAATAATAATAATATGCAAAAAACGTTATTAATATAACTACGAATAAGAATAATATAAATAATATTATATACACTATCTAATAATAAATATCAATTTAATAATAATGATCATAATTATAAATATTAATAATTATATAAATCAAATATTTATAAAATATACACCAGAATTGTTATAAATAAATGACCTTTTCGTAAAAAACAATTGATATTACACATATACTGTACTAGCACTGAAATTGGGGCTGGTTTATCAAATTACATTAGTCTTTACATTAGTGCACCCTGTTTGACCAGAAGCAAAGATGTGTATATAGCTATTAAAATAAATATGTACATTTCGGGATACTTGCAAATTAAACAATCATATAATTAAACACTAGTATATTAATCCTCAAAGTGCAAATCTGAAACATGAACAAGACCAACCCAACGCCCTGCATGTTTTCCCTGGTCACTGCATTGCCTGTATGCCTAATAAACTGCTTCTTCAACATATATACTTACTTATTATGTTATTACTTGGTTCTAAACGACATTTAAAAACAAAACAACTGATGTAACCCACATATTTTCCACGTTACGCAGTCGAATGACCCACTTCTCTCGATTAGCATGCTAGCGTGAAGAAATGGCGTAATAAATCATGAAAAAATAAAAGACAAGCCGCAGAGACTCCATCTTACCGAAGGAATTGAGGAAATCTGCTATTTTCTTAATGCTGCTGGTGATCACTTCGATATATTCACGGTTCGCCCAGTCTTGATGAATTTCCCTTTGCACGGGATCCTCCTGTCCGGCCATCGTGAGCTAGTGAGCTAGTTAGCAATAGCATTAGCCGCTGACTGAGAGGAAGGAGCAGCGCCCCCTGATGGACAAACACACCGTTCATTGTGGATACTACGGGGAATGGAGGGATTTGAAAATAAACACAAATAGGCGATTTGTAAAAGTAAAAGGTGAGTAAATACATTATAGAAATTGAAAACAAAATTACATTATATAAACGTTGTTTTTCGACTTGACTGAAATCTCACTGTAAAATATTTAATTTTCTAACGTTATCGCTTGCATTTTGTATTGTTTGATATTCTTAACTCTTTAGAATGCTGCCAGCGCGTACGAACGTAATAAACGGAAAAAATACACAAACAGAAAAATAATAACATTCGGATGCACGTTATTAACAGACATTAAACTCCGACCATAACATATCTGGAGATTCATAACGGATCAGCCTTCAATCAAAGTATAATGATATATATGCCTCTATCTATATTAACATTTTCGACTATTGTTCATTTCTAACTGTGTACTGATGTGTGACCGTTCTTGGCATTTAAATCATTATTATTATCCGTTCTGGCTTACTTTCATATCCACATTTTTTAACGTAAGCGGCCACAAAACTTCAATGTGCGAGACTTCCGGTGTCACCCAATTTTAACGGTACAAAACTAAACATTGTGTGGCTTCATATTGCAAACTGTTATTTCTTATCATATTGTATTGTCGTAATTATAAACACACAGTTTTACCGTTTATTGCACTTTATTCTTCTAGATATTTATAGCAGCTGAATTGGAAGTCTCACACATTCACAGAAAATAGCTTACTTGCGTGTTGTAAAATAAGGTGGATAGCCTATTACCATGTCCAAAAACAGTAATATTATGGTACTACTGTTTTATCATATTAAAGTATTTTGACCTGTATTGTACAGAGGTCACTAATAACTGTAATAAGCACTATATTGTATATTGTTTGACAATATAGTAGTGTGAACTTTTTTTGTTGTTTAACATATCGTGCTTAATTGTTTTAAATCAATAGAGTGATGTCAAGCAAGTTTAGAAACTGTAGGCGAAGCCTTGCTGCCGCTTTGGATCAGGCAGCAGAAGAGGTTCCTGATTTATCATCATTGTCTCCAAACAACTGCAGCCTGATTAGAACATCACAGGAGGACACGTATGTATTTGACCACTGCACAGAGAGGCCAGATTGCATGTGTTTTTTTGTGCGTATACTGTTTTATCAGTGATAAATGTGCTGCAGTTGGCCTAATTATCATGCCTGTCACCAATAACGAGGGCGTTTTCTATAAATAGGAATGAAGACTTTCAGTGCCGCACATGGTCTGCAAAACTGCAAGATCCTCATGGGCTCCTCGGTCAGTTTTATCATCATCAAAATCATTTCAGGCATGAGACTTGCCAGTTTTGAACTAATTCCCTTCTCTATTTTCAGATGCGCAGACCTTGGAGGATCTTGTGGCAAAGCTGGAGTTTGAAAATGAGCTGAACCGCGTCTACAGTAGATTCCTGCAAAGTAAAAACCAAGACCATGGAAAGAACACAGAAAGTGTTAATAGCGAGGTGGAAGAGGGAAGTACAGGCTACTGGGTTCACGATAGTAAGGAGGAATATTCCTTCTTGCTAGACATGATTCTTGAGATTGAGCGGGACAATGACTTCACTGCTGACTGTGATGTCAGTGCTTTGGAGCGGGACTTACAGTTATCACCATAGTTTTGGTGCCCTCAACGATTTATATGTTATACTTCTTTTCAGTTTGAAGGAAATGGGGTCATTTCCAAAAGAAAATATAAGCTACTAAAAAATTGGGGCTACTTGCAAAGTTGTATAGATGTATGTTTGTATAGCAGAGTTTATAGCAATACAGTATATACATGTCATTCTTAATTAGTACTTGTGTAAATTAATTTATTTCTGCTCTAGGAATCAATATCAATAAAACAGATTAATAATCACTCCATTCTAAAGGACAAATTATCCATTTTTTAACATTGATCTGTTTAAATTACAAGGAAAAAAACTACATTGTCTGACTCACACTGAATAAAATACACATGGTTCGTCAGCACTGGTGGTAAAATATTATATTTGTTAAGAAATATTGCTATTGATTAAGTTTTCATTTCAATTTTTATTTTGTTTTTTATATCTATATATTTATTAGACTGAATAAAATAGTATAAATATTACTATTGGTCTTTCTCTACCGTTTTTAATTTTATTTAAATTTACAAATATTTTATATTTGCTTGTTATAATATCAGTTTATGACAAAATAAACAGTGTTATTCTTTTCCGTTCCACTTTCTGACTTCTCCACTTCACACGTGCTGGTGGTAAAATATTTATGGGTCACGAGCATTGGTGGTAAAAAAAATATTTTTGTTTATAATAGTAAAAACATTACTATTAATCTAAACACTTTTAAATTTTTTAATTTGTTCTAATATCTATATACTTATAACTGAATAAAATATTTACAGGTCATGGACACTGGTGGTAAATATGCTTTTATTTAGAAATGGTAGAAATATTACTGTGGATCTATATGGTTTTAATTTTTTGTTGTATCTATATACAAAACTGCTGCTTAATTTGAATATAAATTCAAAATAAGTCTATCATTCTGATTAGGTAAATGACTAGATAAGCATATGACACATAATTATATGACAAAACTTCACTTGCACTGTGTGGATAGTTATTTTCAGCGTTTGTGCAGTGTCAGCATGACAAAGCATAATCTAAACTGGATTCAATATTATGCTGATCATTAAAACTTAAGTTTATTTAGTTAGAGAATAATTAATTTTAACTGTGCATTATAACACCCACAGTACTAACTTGTGCCAAGGGGAAATATCTAGTATGTAACTTAAAATTAATAATAATAAAAAAAAAATGAAAATGACTTTGGAAATGAAAGTGCAATGCAGAGGTTTGTCATATGAACTGCTTCTGTTTTTTTGTTCAGTGTTGTGAACAGAAATAAGGAACAGAAAGTTTTATTTTTTATTTTTTTTAGTTTGGTCAACAGTTGAAAGATAAAACCTGAGCTGTGCAGTTCATGGATAAATTACAACTACTATAATAAACATTTACAGTTACATCAGAAGCTTCCCTCAGAAAGGTTTTAGGAAGCATCTTCATTAAGTAAACAGTCTAAAAATCAGCCGCACTTTAATCATGTCTGCACAGTCGGCCTATATCAAACAACAATCTCCAAGTGATATGGAATGGACGGTCTATCTCACATGGCCACAACACCAGGAGGTTGCCAGGTTTATTTCGTCCTCTTCAGAAGCTCTTTGATATCTGCTTCAATGTCGATGGTGAGGAACCTTCTGCTGTATCTCTTGAACGGTTTCCCGTCCAGGCCGATGAGGAACTTCTCAAAGTTCCAGGAGACGTCATTCCTGTTCACCGGACTCCAGATGATGAATTTGGGATCACCCATCAAGGACACAGAGTCGTCACTGGGCTGAGGCAGCTTCTCCTTGAGGAACACAAACAGAGGATGGGCGTTCTCACCGTTCACTTCCAGCTTCTCCAGAAGTTGGAATTTTGGCTCGAAGCCATTTCCAGGACGGACGTACTTCAGAGACAGCAGAATTTCATTAAGTATTTTAAATTCTTCAAAATAAATACATAACACTATAAATATCTGTATTTATGATCAATATATTGATTAGTTCAAATCTATAATATAATTTATATTATATATTAGGGCTGGGTTTTGACACAAATTTCACAATTCGATTCTCATTCACAAGCTTGCGATTCGATTCGATTACCAATTTGATTTGATTCAATATTGATTATTTTGGATATATACCAGGTACAGTACATGTCAAATTTTCTCAAGAAAAAAACTAATGCTGTAAAATATACATGAGAGTCAGTTGGTACTATATTGCTATAATATTGAAGGTTAAAATTGACTGATTTGTTAAAATTACACTTAATGAAGTTTTTTTAAATAATATATGCAATAAAGCAGATAACGGCATGTGAGCATAGAATCAGTTAACAACGCAGGTTTTGTCCATTGTCATTGCTATCAAAAATAAACAAAGCTTTGCTGATAGCGATAACAGATTGTGAAATATTTCAATCACTTCTACAATGCAAACCACTAAAAATGTGAATTAGAATATTATTTAATATTAATATATTATTTCATATACAACAACAATATATATATATATCAATTTTAAATATATAAAAAGCATTAATGTATTGAAAACAACAACAATATTAATATACAAAAATAATATATTTTTAAAAGATATAAACATTAACTATATAGTTAATATTTGAATAGCTTTTATAATTATATATATATATATATATATATATCAAATTTCTATATGATA